AGTAGTAAGGAACTTGTTCCTAGTAGCGATGCACTTGTTACTACTAGCGTGGCACTTGTTACTGAATCCCCTTCCAAATCAATGTCAACTACATGAAGACAATGCCGATGGCCTGCTCTTTGCTCCGAGCCTCAGACAGAGCAACAGCGGCAAAGCAGCAACACACTGAGCAACCAATCACGACAGCTAATGCAAAGAACGAACGAGAAAAAGAAGAAAGAAAGAAACGAAAGACAGAAAAAAAAAAACATCTGAAAAAAAAAAAAAACGAAAGAAAAACGGCTAGGCCCTCTAGGCGCTTCACCAGCTGCATTGCCAATGACGGAAGGTGCGGTGAAGATCGGATGACTGCAGACCTATGGCACCCAAATGCCGAAAGCGCTCTTTGTGTTCTCTACTAGAAACAAGTGCCTTACTAGTAGTAACAAGAAGCTAGTAGAAACAAGTGCCTTACTAGTAGTAACAATGTTCGCTACTAGGAACAAGTGCATCGCTAGTAGTAACAATGTTTGCGAACGTAGAAACAATTGTTTCAAATAGCTTCTTGTTACTAGTAGTAAGGCCAGGAGCGCCTAGTAGCGTCCGATCGCTCCAGAAAGCAAATGCCTTTTGAAACTCAAACGAGCCCGTTTCATAGGGTGGAGGCCATAATTGTGTTTCATAGGGTGTTTCAGTCCTTGCAATGGAGGATATGATGGCTGGTCAGATCCCTTTCCTTGAAGAGCAAACCTCTATGTCCAAGAAGCAAAATGTAGTCATGTCAATGTGACGCTAAATGTCCCTAAGAATCTGGAAACCTGTTCGATGTTGCGAAGGGTTCATTTTTCTGTCCGAGTAGCAACGGACATGTTTACTACTAGCGTCCTCTTAGCCAACATCTTCTCACTACTACGTAGAGTCTACTAGCTACATACCTTCAGTGCCTTTTGACACCAAAAACAACAGATAGAGTCTGCTCACAACCTTTAAGGCCGTTCATTCCTCTTTATTTTAGTTTCCAAACATAGTCAGAAAATATTACATTGTAATCTTATATACGGTCTGGCTTCAATAGCAGTGTGCGGAGCCTGGTTTGTGGATCTAAGGTCATGTGGTAGAGCAACTTCAGAGCCACCTGCGCGTTCAAGTGCAAAGCTTCATCTGGCAGAAAAAAATAAGATTCTTTTCTGACCAAGACAGGCGGAGCCACGGCAAAGCCGGCGGAAGCAAACTTGTTTCAACCGTTGCGTTTGAGTTGTTTAAAGACAAAAACACACAAAATTATCACTCGGTATGACACACGCAAAGCATGCATATTGACAGCATTCGTTTTGCCCCGTGCCTTGCGGGTGCCAGCATGCTGGACAGCATGCATGAGACGAGGAACCACAGAGCTCCTTAGGCACCGGACTTGAAAAGCCGGTTTGGAGGAGCCACTAATTGTTTCTTGTTACTACTAGTAAGCCACTTGTTACTAGTAGCTTCTTGTTACTACTAGTAAGGCACTTGTTCCTAGTAGCT